TCTGGGATAAGGTTAGGGAAGACATTGAAACTTTATAAATAAAGGGGTCCTTCTAGGTCCCTTCCAAAAGCAGGTGCTTGTTGTTTATTACACTTTGACTCGAGACCCCAGGAATGGTAATTTGGCAACTTTGGGTCATGTTCTTCAATAGTGGATAAACACTAACAATGATGTCCTGTTTCAGCAGGTAGAGAAATCTGTGGGTAGAACAGGAAGAAATAAGCTTGAAGAAGTAAAAGGAAAGACTTCGATCCAATGCAAGAAAGGACTTGGCATCTGTGGGGGCTGGTGAGCCCAGAACATCTGACTGAGACGTCTAGCTTTGCCTTCTGGGACACTTGATCCCTTCCCCACCCTCTCCCTGTCAGGGCTGTCCTGCCTGGAAGAGATGGGGTGCAGAGTGACGGCTAAAGAAACAAGGTGACCTTCCATTCTCTAGAACTCTCCACCCACAGGCCAACGCTCTGACGGGCTCCTGGTAATTGGAACAGTAATATTCTTCCCTTCTGTGTGAGGAGTGCTTTATGGTGTTTTTCCAGGGAGGTTGGGTTCATTATCTCATCAGATCTTCCAGAAACCCTGTGAGGCAGGCAGGGCAGGTATTGTTCCCAATGAAGGATATTCAAGCCAAGGAATGTTTAATAGCTCAGCCGAAGCCACCCAGCCCAGTACACAATGGAGCCAGAACAAGACCCAGGTTCATCACTTTCTGTTCTTTCAGAGGGTTTAACAGGCCCGTTCTGGAAAAACAGCTACGTATTCCTGTGGAGTAAAAACAGGCAGCCTTGGCATTTGATGGAGAGTAATTCTAATATTCCGTTCTACATCCACATCTCCCTTATTCAATGCCCGCCTCCCCCTTCTTTCTCTCTCTAGGACCCTGGGACTTGCCTCCGTGTATCTGAAACCTTGGTGATTGGTGCTTTGGAAGGCCTTGGGCCTCAGGGCTAGCAAGGAGATTCTATTTCCTCTGCTCTCTCTTAACTCCTCTCCTTCACACACCTACCAAGAGAAGGGGTCTGCCAACCAGTGTCATCACTTGACATGTCACAAGAAGAGGGCATTTGCTCTTAGTCAGACTCCTAATTTCAGTGCCTCCCTTCTTCAGCGCTGGCACTGCAGTTTAGCAGTCATGGCAGACAACAGTTAGCACCCACACCTGGCACTCTTGGAAGATCAAACTTCTGTCAGCTGGTTTCCTGGCCATGGGTAGAATTCTTCACTAACATTCTCATGAAGGCAGTGGTCAGAAACCAGCAGAACCCATTTTTTTTTTTTATTAAAAAGTTTTAGGAAAAAGTTCTGTACACGTTGACAGAAACCTTCAAAGATTTCATTTAAAGCGCAACAGAGCTGCCTGGCCAGTGTGACTCAGTGGTTGAGCGTCGACCTGTGAACCAGGAGGTCACAGTTCGATTCCTGGTCAGGGCACATGCCTGGATTTCGGGCTCGATCCGCAGTGTGGGGTGTGCAGGAGGCAGCTGATCCATGATTCTGTCTCATCATTGATGTTTCTATCTCTCTCTCACTCTCCCTTCCTCTCTGAAATCACTAAAAATATATTTAAAAATAAAATGAAGAGCAACAGAGCTATCTGGTTTCTGTAACGTGAACTGGATGGCTTGGTACAAGTCCCCTGTTCACTGTATTTCTTTTTTCCCCAAGTTTACAGGGATATTCCCTTAGTCAGTTATAGTTCTTACCACCTGTACTTATAGAGGGGCCAGTGGCAGCCTGCCCACGCATTGACTACATAGCCCCATCCTACCGCACCCAGACTTGGAGCCAGACCAGAGCCCTGGCCATGGTCTCCTAGGCTCTCATACTTGAGTGTTGTGACCTTTGCTCAATCACTTTACTTTCAAGCTTTGTGAAAAGAGGGGATTGTATGGTTTTTAGAGTCTTCCAGATTGGGTACCTAAAGTTCTACTCTAGAAAGCTGACGGTGTTCATTAATACCTTGTAATTCCATTCCTTTCCTAAGAATTACTACTCAATTCTCATCTCTGAGCCTTTCTTGCAGGGAACTGCTCCTTTTACACAATGGAGAAAGCTGTCCTGGACTCCCCCTTTTTATTCACCTTTTCTCAGAGCTCTAAGGGACAGTGTTGAGAGACAGCTCAGCAAGCTGGGCCTTTGGCTTTTCTATCATGGGGTTTGGATGCATACGCGCACGCATGCACTCATATGCATGTAAATTAGAGGGGTATGGGCCCTGGGCCTCTGTGTTGTTCCCACTATTTGTTTTGAACAGATGAGGTCTGGATTTGAAGGGTCACATGACCAGAACTATAAAACCTGGGTCTTCAGGTTGCAGGTTCTCCACCCGGGGTCAGGGTCAGGGTTAGGGTTAGGATTAGGGCTACCATTTGATGTGTCCCTCTCACCTCGCCTCACTCTGTGCCCCTCACCGCCCACCACCCCCACTTGAATTCTAGTGAAAAGTTAAAATAAATGCCAGAACACCCTAGAAGAAAAAGGGAGGATGCACTAAAAGGCCGGCTGTGTGACGCAGCTGTTCCGCCCTGGGGATAGACATGAGCGAGGCTGTTGGGACAGCCAGTGTCGCCTGGGCCTCAAGCTTGTTTTAGCTGCAACATGCATGGCTGGGGCTGTCATGGGGCTCACAGCTACGGTTTCTTTATATCAGCTTCTCCGTTTGAAGCATCCCAGAGTTTGGATTTTGATTACTCTGGTGAACTTATCATCTGGTGAACTTTTTTTTTTCTTTTAGAGAAAATTTTTATGAGTTTATTTGAGCCAAACTGACAACATGTGCTGGGGAACGAGATCTCAAATGTTCCTCAAAATGCATTTTATAATTTTTTAAAAACCATATTTATATGACAATTTCTACAAATCTTCCTTTTGCATTACCCCATTTAATCCTTCCCTCAACAGGAAGAAGGAAGGGCAGAAAAATGTTGTTCCCACTATTTTTTTTTTCCAACAGATGAGGTCTGGATTTGAAGGGTCACATGACCAGAACTAAACCCTGGGTCTCCAGGTTGCGGTTCCCCACCCCAGGTCAGGGTTAGGGTTAGGGCTAGGGCTACCAGTTGATGTCTCTCTCTCACATTGATGTTTTTCTCTCTCTCTCCCCACTCCTCTCTCTCTTCCATCTCTCTCTTCCCCTCCTCCCTCCCTTCTACTCTCTCCAGAAATCAATGGGAAAAAATACCCTAGGGTGAGGATTAAAAAAAAAAGAAAAGAAACATCTTCAACCATTTTCCTAATTCAAACCACTGCGAAACCACCAGGTAACCCTGCATATACCACCTTTACTGATAGAAAGAAAGTTCAACTCAGTCCCTGTCTTATTGTTACAGGGCCTGGATTCATCTTTATTCTTGCAAGGTGGCCAGTGAGGACAGTGGGGAGGTGGGCTTTGGAATCTGAGGGACATTGGTACTAGTGAAGTGAGGCCACCACCCCACCTGCAACAGCTTAGCTTTCTGGGTATCGAAGCAAAGACATAGCGAAACCCTGGGTTAGGGTGTGGGCAGCTGAGGGCAGGGGCCTAGCAGAGCATCCTCTCTAAGTGTACCGCTGCAGCCCAATTCCTGGGGGGTGTGGGAGTGTGTGTGAGGGGGTAGAAGAGGGGGGAGATCCTGCCTCAGGCTCTGTCTGCAGCAGACTGCTCTAAGGTAGTCAGGCCCGAATTGTGTTTAAGTCTTTAAAGAGGCTCACCGATTCTTTAAAGCAGCACGCTTAATTGTTGTCTGTAATTGAGGTGACATATGCCCCAGAGGCGTGTACTGAGGTCCAATGGAAGAGATGGTTTTGTAAAAATTGGTGTTAATTAATTAAAGAAGGCAGTGGCACGGGGCTGTGAGTTAGTGCCAGACTTCGTAACCCTAAACCAGCCAACCCACCCAACCGGCCTCACCACCTGAGGAACAATCCCCAAGTTCACCAAGGTGGGGTGGGAGACCTGGGATGCAGGGCAGGAAGCGGGGACTGAAAGGGAGAAAGGTGGGGCTCAGGGAACCCTCTCTTAGTTTTCATGACCCCCCCAAAAGGCTTGGCTCCTGAGAACTGTTTGGCCACCACCCTAAGACATGTTGCGGGGGCTAGGAAACTGCAGAAAAGGGAAGGCAAAATCAAAGGAGGGAGGTGAGATTGTGGGCGAGGGGCAGCAAAGGGAGGAGAAAGGTGCAGAGCTGGGGTCTGGGCTGGGAGGGGGAGCTGTTGGCAGGAGTGAAGCATGATGGAGCCACTCAGGTAGAAACTGGGAAGATTCCAGGGTGGAAAGGACCCTGTGGGCGGAGCTCAGGGGAGATAGGACTCGGATGTGGGGGCGGCAACATGGTGCCTGGGGCCTCTGGCATTCAGTGGAGGTATTAATTAAACCCCTGACCTGAGGTCTTTAGCGAAGCTGTGGCAGCCTTTCATAGGCGGCTGGGTTGAGAACAATCACAACAATAATAATAACAATTAACCATAATGAGACCTTATCTGCAGTAAGTTGTTTCTAGGGCTTTGTAAGCATTAAATCATTAGTTCCCCAGGCCCCGGAGGGCCACCTTTTTTCTAGAAGTCTTGGAGGTGCAAGAGGATTCAGTTCGGCCTGCTGCCATTGGCTGGGCAGGTGAGTTCACTGACAGAGCCATAAAACCCAGGGTTCTTAGCGCTTCATAAACTGTTATAATCTTTTGCATTTAGAAAATAGTGCTTAAAAGGGCTAAGTTCAGAAATGTGGAAATCAGCCACCACAAGTGTCTACACAACTTTGATGTGAAAACTCAAGTCCTACCTGAGACGGAGCCACGTGCTGCATCAGAGTGGCCTGGGGATGACCATGAAGTGACCATGTTTGTGAAGCTAGCTGGAAGGATTGAGCCCTGGCCTGAAGATCGGGTAAATGGAAGGACCTCAGGTATCCATCCCACCCTCCTACCCCCTTCTCAACCCCCTACCAAGAAGGGAAATTTAGAAGGAGGGGTTCAGGGAAGTAAAAAGAGGAGGGTCATTCTAGAATGGGAGTCACATGGGATGGAGCCTGGGAGCCAAAGTCTCCAGCGAACACCAGTGCCAACAGTTACTAGCCTTGCAGATTTCAACTGTTCTTGCATTTGTGTTTCCTGTAACAGTGGTTCCTGCAAACTTTACACATTCGATTCAAAATCACACTGTCATCTGCATCTCAAAGATGATGAAAGTCTTCATCATCATCCCTAGTCAAGATCAAAGACAACATTGTATAGCACAGCCATGGGCAAACTACGGCCTGCGGGCCGGATCCGGCCCGTTTGAAATGAATGAAACTAAAAAAAAAGAAAGACCGTACCCTTTTATGTAATGATGTTTACTTTGAATTTATATTAGTTCACACAAACACTCCATCCATGCTTTTGTTCCGGCCCTCCGGTCCAGTTTAAGAACCCATTGTGGCCCTCGGGTCAAAAAGTTTGCCCACCCCTGGTATAGCACCTCTTTTTTAAAAAAAAAAGATTTCATTGTACTTAAACAGATGGGCAGGTGAGATCCAGAGCAGGAACTGAGCTTGCCTGAATCTTAGAGTTGGGCAGCAGAAAGATCTCTGTCAGGGCTGAAGAGCCATCACCATTCATGACAGTGAAATAAGAGGGACCAGTCCTCATCGTTCTGACCCCCGCCATCTCTCTAGAGCTAGAGCCGGCCTTCCTTCCCTGGGTTACTACTGTACAAAGAAAGTTACCTGTAAGAAGGTACTGGGATTTTCAGGGCTTGAATACCAGTCAACCTTGTAGATTGCATCAAAGAGTAATCTGGTTAACAAAGTAGTACTAAAAATATTGTAACATTTGAGACAGACTCAAGTTATTCATGGTTTATCTGAAATTCTAATTTAACTGGATGTCTTGTATTTTATCTGGCACCACTACCTGCAGGTAAAACCACCAGGAGATTCATACTAACTCCTCTGGAGTTTCTTAGATAAAAATGCAATAGGAAGGAGAGAAATACTTTGATCGCTTCCAGTTCCTTGGTACTGGGAATGGGAGACACAGAAGATGGCCAACGATGTATTAGGGAAGCAAGAGACCCAGACCCAGGTGCCCACCAACTCTGGTAGGCGCACTCATGCCCACCCTGGGTGCGTGGGTCATCAAGTCTTTAACTGGCTCCCTGTCAGACTGCATAGTTGCTTCAGAGCCTCCAGAGAGAATACAACCTGCCCACACCTTGATTTGAAACTTCTGACCCCCAGAACTATTAGAGAAGAAATCTGTGTTGTTTTAAGCCACTAAATTGGTGGTAATTTGTTACAGCAGCATCAGGAAACTACATCCTTATTGCCTAAAGGGGAATCTGAATGGCTTTGCAAGGCATTCAAGGGCCTTCTGTTATCTGCCTAACTGGCTCCCCCACCCCCACCCCAATCTTTACCCACAGAACTTCTCCAGGATCCTCAACAGGGTCACGCCCTCTCTTATTCCCATGCCTTTGTATGTGCTATTTCTTCCACCTGAACACCCTCTGCTCACGTGTTTGTCTGGCAAATTCCTCATCCTTTCTACAGCTCAGCTCAAATAATACCTCCTCTGTGAAGTCTTTCCTGCTTTTCCCTCGAGGAACTTAGGGCTCCTTTCCCGCTCCTCTGCTGCACTTCAATTGCACTCCTGTTAAAGCAGTTCCATATGATAAGGGCCCAACTGTTCCCTCCCGGGACAATAAGCCATTTGAGGGCATGGAGCCTCTCTTTAGACCTTGCGTCTCCCTTAGCACTAGCATGGTGCCTGGCACATCAAATAAAGGTCCCCAGAGACTACAGCTCTTATCCCGACTGCCAGCGGGCCCTGGACCAGTGACGCAGCCCCTCCAGCCCAATTCTCCGTCCATAACAAGCATCGGGGAAACCATCCCTTCCCTTTCCCCAGGGAGAGATAATGACAAAGGCAATCCGACACGGAAGTGTTTCAAGGCCAAAAAAAGAAAAAGGCGCCAGTCAGAGTTTGGTAATATTCCAGCTGTACCCACGGTACGTCACACTTCCTCTCCAAGTCTCAGTTCTTCAATGGGGCAGGCGCCATGTCCGCCTCCCACCCCATTGTACCCCCACGTCTACACTGCTTTTTAGGATGAATTCTCTGGTGGATGAAGATCTTGGGGGAGGCTTTCCCACATTCTTCAGACTCGTGGGTTCTCTCCCACGTGCACACACCGATGTGGAGCTCATCTCGACGGGAGGCTCCCCCACAGCCACTGCACTCACGTAATCGAGTTCCACGACACTGAGTCAGGTGTACCTTCCCAGCTTCCAACTCACCCCGAGGGCTCTCCCATGGACACCTCAGGTGCAGGCACAGGGTTCTTTCCAGTAGGAATTATTATCTGATGTTGTATAAGATGGTTACTCCACCCAAATGAAGGCTTACTCACGTTTATTACACTTACGAATTTTTTTTTTTTTCTGTGTGAATTCTCTGATGTCTCATGGGAAGTGAAAGGCAATGAAGGTCTCTATAAAGGCCCCTGATGTTCCCAGCTCTGTGTCCAGTGTGCAGAGGGACTCCGGCCTCTGGCCTCTGAAAGTTCACAACCTGGTGGAGGAGACAACATGCATGCACACGGAACCGCTGGGGAACACGAGACATTGTGTAATCACACCGAGCCCCAGAGTTGAATGGAATTCAGAGATTGGCTAGATGGGAAGGGCGGCACGAAAGGCGTTAGACGTTAGCTCAACTTGGAAAAGATGGTGGAATTGAGGCTGGAAAAGAGAAGAGAAAGGCGTTCAGGAGGTGGCTTTAGAGCAAAGACATCCTTCTGTAGGGACTCGCTGTTTTAGGTTCTGGAGAGAGAGACTGGGGGGTGGGTGTGGAGAGGGAGGAAGGAAGAAAGGAGGTTGGAGGGAGGAAGAGACAGAGAGACAGAAAGAAAAAGAGAGAGAAATTCTGTCTGACGTAATGATTTGTCCCTTGATTTAGGAAACTCCCACAAACCTAGGCAGCAGCCTTTGAACATTTTATTTCTCTAATGCTGCTCTCATTTTATAGCTCAAGCCATTTTCTCTTTTACCTACAAAGGAACCTAAGAAGGCACCTATAAAGGAACATTTTCCCCCTGCACTTCGGGAGCACAGGCCCCCATTCCAGTTCCAGGACCCATTCCAGGTCCAGGACTATGAATGGCACCCCAGGTGACAGAGGCCCCAGGTGGGGAGAGAAGCCCACCCAGGAGAGGGCCCAGGAGGCCGCATTCCAGCACGTCGGAGTGCTCTCTCCCTCTCTCCCTTGTATCACATGCACTAAAAAATTTCCACCCGGAATGTTGACATTTAGAGAGAATGAGGGGCATCCGATCCAAAGGCCTTTCCATGTCCGTTTTATGGAGTCTTTCAGGAGCATTCGGAGTAGGGAATAACTTGGTAACGTTCCCGCAGGGGGCGGCGGGCGAGCAGGAGGGTGGGATGTGCAGATCCCGTCTCGTCAGACAGTGGGGAGACGTTTCTACCAATTATAGTGGTTAAACGCTGACTCAACATCCAGCAGCGGCCTGAGGTGTCAGCCTTCATCCACGGACAAGTTTCAAAGTGAGACACGGGAGGACACGGGACCTGCCCTGGGCAATGTCGTCAGAGAACCGAGGAGTGGACTTCACGCCCAACAGGGCGGCTGCTGCTGGCGAGGTTGCGAGCCCTGTCATTTCCAATGTGGGGAAACGGGGAGGCACCTTTTCTCCATGTCATTGCCCAAAGCGTTTGTTTGCATGTGGAATTCTTAGGTTCCTTTAAATATGATTAAAAAAAAATTTTTTTTTAATTTTAGAGAGAGAGGAATGGAGAAGGAGAGAGGTAGAAACATTGATGAGAGAGAAACATCCCTTGGCTGCCTCCTGCACGCCCCCTACTGGGGATCGAGCCCACAACTGGAGCATGTGCCCTGACGGGAATCAAACCGTGACCTGCTGGTTCATGGGTCCACGCTCCACCGCTGAGCCATGCCGGCCCGGCTGGGTGGACTTCTGAGGCTCTTCATCTTGTGCCACTTCCCTAGGAGGCTGAGTTTGGGGAGGGAGGGGCCTCACCCAGGGAGAACAGATTGGGGGCTGGCGCCTTTTGGGTGGACATCCTGTTGGAACGTTCTCTGTTCCTCCCAGCGAGGCTCGCTTGGCTCTGTGAAGAACGCAGGCAGGAAGTGAAAGAGCTCTATGTGGCTTTCATGGGAGTGCCCAGGCTCTCAGGGACCCCGATGGTCATCCAGTCTGACCACGCACCCCATTCCATTTTCATTATTAGCATCTGTCCCGCCTGCTGGTACATGGGTTCCCCCGGGGCAGGCGGCATGTCTGTTCTCATCGCCATCAGAGCTGTCTTAGTACCTGTCACGGCGCCTGGGACACAGCAGCTGTTCGTGAAATGTTGGTGGAATAAGTCAGCTGTAAATGTGGAAGTGATCCCCTTAACAGACCTCTTCCCCTTGGTCAGATGTACAGTTACGTTATGAATGCTGGGATCCCAGGGGTGGGAAGGGACACTGTGGGGTAGTCATAACAATCAGAGCTAGAAACGTGCTGGGAGGGCCCTGGAAAATAGGCCAAAAGTTCAAATGGCATCTGATCAGGGAGCCACGGCAGGCTCTCGGGGTCACCAATAAGAGAAGGCAGCCCTGACTGGTTTGGCTCAGTGGATAGAGCGTCGGCCTGCGGACTTAAGGGTCCCAGGTTCGATTCCGGTCAAGGGCATATGCCTTGGTTGCGGGCACATCCCCGGTGGGGAGTGTGCAGGAGGCAGCTGAATTGATGTTTCTCTCTCATCAATGTTTCTAACTCTCTATCCCTCTCCCTTCCTCTCTGTAAAAAATCAATAAAATACATTTTTAAAAAAAGAGAAGGCAGACGGGCGGAGTCACTGAGGACCAGTGCGTCCTGGCGCGGCCTAATCGCAGGGCTAAGCTCCAGAGATGCCTTTGGGGCTGAACGTCAAGAAAGCAGCAGGAATTCTAGTGAGTGTTGCTTCTGGGTGAATTCAGAGGGCCGGCGGCGGGAACAGAGGCAGGGGCCAGTGCGGTCAGGGCCGAACACGTCCAGGGAGGAAGGAGATGCCTCGGGAGGTGGTATGCTGTGTGGAGCCAGGCGAAACCGAAAGGGAAAGTTGGCTTTTCTCCAGAGAGTGCCCCCCGAGGGCAGAGACCATGTCTTATGTGCATCTACACCCACAGCTCCAGGCAGACTGCCTTGCCTATAGTAGCTGCTTCGTAAAAGCTTCATAAATGAATGCTTGGCTGGCGGCCGGCTCTGGGAGGCACTGAGGATGCGAGAGCTTACGGAGGCCTCTGAGAAGCTCTGTTTACTGTTTTGTCTGCTCCAGCTTCCTCAGCCTACTCTTCCGTGTTGTCCCACCTCTGTTTCCTGCTGGAAGATGTTCCTGAAGATTGCTGCTCTCTGGGTGGACAGCAATAGTGGGGAAGGTGACTTGGGCAATCACAGGCTGGGTCTCAGCCTGCAGCCTGTCGGGCCACCCCCCCCCCCTTTCTCCTTGGGCTTCCCACTGCCAGAGAGGAGTATGTTTTGCAGGGTTCCACTGAGCCCCCCACCCAGCCACCAGGTTGTTGTTCACCTTTCCTTCTGGTCTTTGATCTCATCGCGGCAGGCAGGGACATGTCACCGCTGGAAGCCTGGAGTTAGCAATTGCGCGCACACACAAACACACGCACACACCGTTCCCTGCCTCTGAGCCATTGCCTGGCCCTCTGTCCCTGGGCCTGGCCCATCTCTGCAAGACCCGGTCTGTGTCCTCTGATGCAAGAAAGCTGGGCACTTTGCACGTCTGCAGCGTTGGCCTCCCTCAGGGGCTGGAGGAAGCCCACCCAGAAGGCAGGACCTTCCAGAGAGACGCGCAACCAGGAGCCTGACCTCATGATGCCCACAGCAGCTGGCAAGGAGGGTACCAGCTCTGCTGTCCTGGCTCCAGCCCAGTTCTCTCTTCTAGATTCTACCCCTTCCCTGGCTCCCCTCCAGGCTGACAAGATCTGCCCCAGTTGGGGAAGGATAGGCATGGCATGGCGAATAGAGGATGGCAGGGGAGGGAGGGGTCTCTCCCAGGACCTTGCTCAGATCATTCCCTGGCACAGTGCCTCCGTTTCCCCCTTGAGAAATTATGCCCATGCTTCCAGGGTTAGGAAGGTGCTCAGCTTCTGGAAGTTTCCTGAGCAAACTGGGGAAGCAACCCAGTCGTGTTGAGTTCCCTTGCGGCCAGAACCTGTCGGCCCCGCCCCACCCCAGGAGGCCTTGCTAGTAGGTAAAGCCGGGCCAGCAAGGCAGGGTCCTGCAGGATGAAAGCTCAGCGAAGCCGGAGCAGGAATAATAATGATAATCATCAGCCTGGGCGTCCTAACCATCCTGGAATGCGAGGCCCCACGCCCTGCGCCTCACACCCCAGGACACTCCAGGGGCTCCTCTCCCTTCCTTTTATTGCTTCGATCCCACACTCTGCCATTCCCAGCCCAACCCATCTGGGTTCCCAAGCACTGCAGCCCGTCCACCACCCAGTTCCATGGGAAGATTGAGCCCAACCAGGCCCAAGCCGGCCCGCAGGGCAGGACGTCCTCCGACTTGGAAACTCGGGCTCCGGGCTTTCCCAGAAAAGCCGTCTGCCCTAACCCTAACCCGCCCCTGGCCTGGGGCGCTTTCCCAGGACCCGTCTCTGCCTGGCCAGTGTGCGGTCCAGGAGCCTGCCTGTGCCAGTACAAATCCGAATTCAGGTCCTGGCTGGGCCACAGACTAACGCATCACCGGGCCCTGAGTGAGTTTTGTTTTGATTTGCTCTGGCTTCACTGCCTCACCTGCCCCACACTTTCCAAGGCTCCTCATCCCTCACTGAAGATAAACTCTGGACCCCGTAGTTTCTCTTAAAAAAAGTCTATGTTTTCATTGAGTTGGGAGAGGGAGAGAAAGAGAGAGAGAGAGAGAGAGAGAGAGAGAGCAACAATGAGAGAGAATCATTGATTGGCAACCCCGGGCATGTGCCCCAACGGGGAATCGAACCGTGACCTCCTGGTTCACAGGTTGATGCTCAACCACTGAGCCACGCTGGCCGGGCAAGTCCGTTTCTAGCCCACTCCTCTTCTTCACCTTCTGGATGCCAGCTGGGAGTGTTTCTCCCTGATGGTCATACACCTCCCATGCTTTTCCATGCTGGGGCTTCGATCCTTCTCTGGGAGGCCATTGCCTCCCTCTCCACCTGGCCAGGCTCTCGCGCCTTCAGGGCCCAGGCCAGAGGTCAGCACCTCCATGACTGTGCCTGACCCTCATCCTTGGAACGTCGGCGTCTCTTTGTCTGGATCTCTCAAGCCCACAGGCGGTGCCTATGTGCATAGTTCAACTTGTCCACTGCACCACCAGCGGGCCGCCGGGTCTTGTTCATGGCTGTGTCTCCATGGTGCCT